TTTTTTTTGTTGCAGTTATCATTGTTGTTTTAGCTGGCCTGGGCTGGGTTCAAACCCACCAGCCTATGTGTATGTAGCTGGCATATTCTTCCAATATGTGGCAGAGAAAAAAAACAAAGGTTGGACACTTCTGAAAATGTTCAGTACTGCTTGGATAAGTAAAGGACTAGAAAAAAGCTGGCTCTCAGTGGAAGGAGAGGGATTTAGATGACAAAGAACAAAACAGAGCATAGCCAGACGTGAGGTATATCAAAGACATATCAGAGCATCCAGTTAGGAGAAATTCAATGTGTATGACCTAATTATAAAGAGATTTGTTTTCCCTCGTATCTTGGTTATTGGAAATGTGGAATAATGCAGAGAAAGATCAAATACTGTCTTGAACCAGCCAATGAACGGGCACCAAAAGAAACAGGACCAATTACTTTGAGGATTCCTACCACAAAGTCAGTCCTATCACCACGGTCACTGACCAACAAGTGTTATAAGTCATTCCTTAGTGGAGCTAGACCTTTTTTTTTCCTTTTTCCTTTTTTCCTTCTTCTTTTTTTCTTTTTTCAAGAGGCAGAGTCTCACTTTGTGGCCCTTGGTAGAGTACTATGGCATCACAGCTCACAGCAACCTCCAGCTCTTAGGCTTAGGCAATTCTCTTGCCTCAGCCTCTCGAGTAGCTAGGACTACAGGCACCCGCCACAACGCCTGGCTATTTTATTGTTGCAGTTTGGCTGGGGCCAGGTTTGAACCTGCCACCCTCAGTATATGGGGCCGGTGCCCTACTTACTGAGCCACAGGCACCACCCAAGGAGCTAGACCTTTAACTGGCTTAACCTCAGTAAATCCTTTCTAGGGCAAGCCATCAAAACTCAGTAACTTTACAACAGAGAACTTTCTTTACAGTGTCTGTGATTGTTTCTAGTTACCTTTGTATCCTAATCCCTAAATTTACCAATTCCATTAATATGTTCTCCCATCTAATAACCATCAGGGAATGTTAAGAGTTAATTTATGCATCTTCTTTAAAGCATAATCACATTTTAATTTGTTCTACAAAAAGAATATTAATTTCTTCACCGAGTACATAAACATTTATTTAATATTCATGCTAAGTCATATTACAAAGACAGGATTTGAGTAACTCCTTCAAGAGACTTCACAAACTCTTTTCCACATTCTTCCACCCACAGGAAGGCCATCTATAGAGGCAAGATTCATACTTACCCGTATGGTTTCAGATGCAAAATGCCCTTCTGAGATCATCAGGTTTCCAGTTTCATCCAGCTTGACAATGGCTCCTGAGTTGGCCTGTACTTCAGCCTCAAAGGCCTGATGCTTCTGAAGCTTTCCCTGTTAGTAGACCATGAAGTGAATCACAGATGCAACCACAGGACACCCAGTACCTTGTCCCATTCTCCAACGTTCCTCCACTCCTCAATCCCACTCCCTCTAGTTATGGATGTATCTATCACTCAGCATCTTGCCCATCCTCTGCCAGCTCAATTCATCAAATATGCTGACCACATTTCTACTGGCCCTCTGAAAGGTTTGCTAGTGAAGACCATCAACTTTGTAAATGGAAGCTGCTACAAATATTATAATTGTATTGTCTTTCTATGGATATTTAATCCCTTCTGGAAATACAGAGCCACACTGACAGTTTCCTTGGCATGCAGTGTTTACCCTTACATAATCTATCCACATTCACTCACACACAACACTTTGTTTCACTTATTTTAGAGGCCACACTCTCATCCTGCCTATGTTCAAATTTTCTCAATACTTCTTTTTCATTAAGTACAGAGCTAGGAAGGGGCCACACTAAACCAGTGCTCATCATTTTCTGTTCTTAGACTACTTTGGTGTAGTTAAAAAAAAAAAAAAAA